CGTATTAGTTTTTCTCTGTATTTATAGAAAATATCAGCAAATTTACTCGCCTATCTTTTGTTTTCATAATATGCATTATTTTCCAATGATTTTCATTGTTAGTTTTATTTTAACATTAATAAATGAATCTCAACTTCATTGATTGCATTGATTTGCCATTTAAGGAGTAATACAGAGCTTAATATTTTATTTTAGAACAGAAATTTATTTGAATAGTTAATTGTAATAATTGCAGCAATTAATCTAAATAGACATAAATTAATAATTTTAACTATTCCAGTTCCAATATAAATCTTGCTGCAACGGTTTTAACTTATGCTTTGATAATTTTGGAAATAGCAATTTTGTTTATGGACCATCGGTTTAATGCTCATAACCATCAGGTAAGGCATTAACGTGTGGATTGTGGAATAGACTGTGTTATATTGTCGATAACACAGTGCAAAGTAAATATCATAAATATTATCATAAATAATTTAATCAATAAAAACTGCAAAAATATTAATTGTACTTTGCTCATACACTTAGATACTGTATATATGCATTGGGTTAGTCATATAGTCTCAAACATTATTCGAACTAATCGAAACACCGTGCATGTGCATCTTGATGTAATTGTTATCGTTATTGTAATAGCCTGTCAACATCTTCTGGTACATTTGCTTTTAGGAGTAGTGAACAATATTTGGTTGTCGAAATTGACATGTGGATCCTGAAACCATGAATGATGAATGAGGTTCAAGTATAGCCTCCGCCAGTTAGCCCGATCAGTTGCTTGCTGTCGCCAGTTGGGCGTACTCAGCGCCCCCAAATCGTTGGTCTCCTGGTCCTTCCACCGAAGATGCGGACGTCCTTTACCGCGTTTTCCACATGCGGGAAAAAGTATCAAGCAACTTTCTAGTTGGAGCATTTTCTTCCATTCACACGACATGATCAAGAAAGCGAAATCGCTGAATTTTTATGTCAATGTCGCGGTCTATCTCATACAGCTCATCGTTCCATCTAATTCGATATTCGTCGCCAATGCGTTAGGGACCATAGATCTTCTGAAGAATTTTTCTCTCGAATGCTCCTAACGCCTTCTCATCACTGTTGGTAGTTGTCCAAGCTTCTGCACCATACAACAGGACAGGCATGATAAGATATTTATAGAGCGTGATTTTTGTTTGTCGAGAGAGGGCTTTATTGCTTACTTAGCCTGAAGTAACATCTGTTGGCAAGAGTGATTGTTCTTTGAATCTCTAGGCTGACGTCATAATTGGTATTTAAGCAAGTTCCTAAATAAACGAAATCTTTCACAACTTCGAACTTAAAATTGTCAATAGTGACGTGGGTCCCAAGACGCTCAGGAGATTTCTTTGTTGACAGAAAGTACTTTGTTTGCCGCATATGGAAGCAGCATTACACTTTTGTAGAATATTGTGCCAGTACGGTTTAAATCTGCTGCTCGAATTATCGTTTCCAACATTAGGTTAAAGTAGTCACACGACAAGGAGTCACCCTGTCTGAAACCTCGTTTGGTATCAAACAGTTCGGAGTGGTTCTTCCCAATTCTAACGGAGCTGGCGATGTTGCTCAACGTCATTTTACATAGCCGTATAAATTTTACTGGTATACCAAATTCAGACATAGCGGCATAGAGAGTGCTTCTAGACGTAGTGACAAAAACAACTTTGAAATGAACAAATAGGTGGTGTCCAATAGGTGATAAGGTCCAATCAGTTGGTTGACAATTGACTTCAATCTTACGCATAGTATGTTTGACAAAACCTTATATGCTTATAAATATAAGCTTACGCTTATGTCTAATGTAAAATAGACGTTCTTCAAACGTCATTTTATGTTCATGTAAAATCTATTTTAGTACCAAGGCGGTTTCTACATAGTAAAGACGATCCAATCAATTAAAATTTTGATATAGCTGGCATAACAGGTATTGCTTAAATTTCAGGATTAAATTGGATCTTATAACCAAGTCAATTTATATCAATTCAAGGTCTTTGCAAAAAGTTGAGCAGGTGTAATAAGGGGTAAGTATGTAATTCAGTTGTGTATTTGCGGGCCTAAATCCATATATATAATTGGCGTACCTAAACCTCATTATAATTGGCGTATCAGAATCTTACTCTTACCGCTGCATTATTATTACTACAAATTATTGAATAATCGATTCAAGATTACTCACCAGTAATTTCTAATATATAGTTATCAATAATTTTACTATGTTTTTGATAAAGTTAATAATTTTACTTTTATTATCAGTTTCCTGTGTAATATCTAAGTATTTGAGTTATGGCGAATGTTTTTTTTTTTGTAATAAATGCATTATAATTTAGTATAGGTAAATATGCTTACCAGTTCTTACCGAAGAACGATACAACGAAAACTTGTTTTCAAAGGTCTATTAGAATTATCCATTATTTTTTAGGTTAGTTTTTGAAAGGGCTGGAAACCAAGTCGCCACGTCACTGCATCCTTTGAGAATTATTGTGACAATAATGTGAATCCATTATACTTTCAACAACCATAAATTTAATTTACAAAACCCATCAATGCGTTTCAAAAATAGAAAATCTTTTAAGACAACACTGGTCTAAGAATCACTAATATCTTGGTAGGTTCGCCTTATTGCACTTCTTATGTAAAATCTTTTTACGGAATAGTAGTCTTCAGGATCACAACCATCTTGGTTAAACTTACCCGATAACACTTTCAATAGAAAATATTTTTACGGGACGCTAATTATCAGGAATCCATATATTTTGAGTAAACTTAAATCATACATAGAAAATATATTTAAGGTACACAAATTTTTAGGACCATATCCGCTTTCATTTTAGTAAATATAAATTAATATTAAATAAAAATAAATATTTAATAAATATAAAGTAAATATTTTTACTGCATACATATATCGTAGTTCAGGATCACATATATCTTAGTTAGACTTTACCCTACTCTGCTTTCCATAGAATATATTTATATGAAACACCAGTCTTCAGAACCACATATATATTGGTTAAATATACACTATGGCGCTTTCTACATACGAGACTCTGGCGACCGAGTACAGGTGGTATAACCTGAAAACATATAGTTGAGCGGAAATTCTCTAACTACTTAACACCTATCCTATCTCCGGGTTAGCAAATAAGAAGATCTGGCCCTCTAAGTTAGAGGTTGATCGCAAGGCCAGCAACCCTGCATCGGAAAAATTTTACCGCTACGCAACCCTTAGGAAGGCCAAGGTTCATACTGGACTGTAGTGCCAAATAAACAAACTGATAAGATTTCCCAATGGTGTCAGCTACAATATGGAACACAGCAATAAATCTAGATGTTAGCATTAAACTTCTGTTGCACTTTCCGTATTAGTTTTTCTCTGTATTTATAGAAAATATCAGCAAATTTACTCGCCTATCTTTTGTTTTCATAATATGCATTATTTTCCAATGATTTTCATTGTTAGTTTTATTTTAACATTAATAAATGAATCTCAACTTCATTGATTGCATTGATTTGCCATTTAAGGAGTAATACAGAGCTTAATATTTTATTTTAGAACAGAAATTTATTTGAATAGTTAATTGTAATAATTGCAGCAATTAATCTAAATAGACATAAATTAATAATTTTAACTATTCCAGTTCCAATATAAATCTTGCTGCAACGGTTTTAACTTATGCTTTGATAATTTTGGAAATAGCAATTTTGTTTATGGAGCATCGGTTTAATGCTCATAACCATCAGGTAAGGCATTAACGTGTGGATTGTGGAATAGACTCTTGTTACCTTCACCCCATGGGAAACGCTTCTCACGTCTGAACAAGTAATCATACTTGACGAATGCTGGACGTGGCTTGTGGTGCTCCTCTTGATGCTTCAAGTAAGCATTTAACATACACAACCCAACAGCTGGCAGAGCGACGAAGAAAGACAAACGCTTCCAAACCTTGTAGCCACCTATAAAAATAATCAATAATTTTATTTATTATATTTAGTTTAAAATTTTTTTAATTAAATATTAAACTTTTCGTTAGAGTTGGTGTACGTTTGCTCTCAAAATTATATAACCTTAACCTACAGTTTTTATAACAAAACTTTATTTTTGTTTTATAAATCTTTACCTGAGTGCTCGCCAGCAGTTGCAGCTGTTCCTGGATTAGAGGCTTTTGTCGCCAATTGACGACGGATAACATGTAACCAAACTGTTGCCATTTTTATTCCTTAACAAAATTGCAGACTGACAAGTACTACCTTTTCAATTCAATGGAATAAATTTCTTTTGACGTTTGTTGAAATGTCAAATGCAAACTCACACAAGCGTTAGCAGCGTCATATTCACGGAGCGGGAATTTTTTTGTTTGTAGTGTTGATTAAAAATTTTAAAATGAAGATATTTATTTATTCTTATATAGGTATATAGAGATATGTTTCCATGCTATTACGATTAAAATATATTTTAAATAGAAATGCAAATAATTATTAATTATATATTGAATGGAAGGCTAGAATGGTAAAAATAATTTATTTTAAATTAATCCAGTCTGGGCTGCGCATGTTGCGGCTTTGATTATTGCCAAATGTCGATCATCTGTGGTCTTTGAAAATTTTAAATGATTTTATGAGACACTATAGAATTTTAAATTAAATTATATTACAAAAAAATAAATAAAATAAAATAAACTGATTTATGAACACACACTTAATACGGCATATATGTATATAATTTCCATCAAAAGTTAATTGTATATATATGTATATATATAACATCTTAGCGTTTTTGATAGAATAACAATTTGCTTATATATAGATTTATTAACAATTAAACATTATCAAGACATTTTTGTATAGATTTAGTATAAAAAGTCAGTTTGATTAAAATTTTGATGTAAATAATTCACTCAATTACTTTTTTCCTATATATTCTCATGCGGTCGAAAATTAGATATCACTAAATGATACTAATTTGGGCACTTAAATATATTAGACCTTTTCTTTTGTAAGCATGTCGCAAAAAAACAATTAAAATAAGCACTACGATGGCAACTCTGGACAGAATGGAGATTTTGTTTGGCTTATATGTGCAAAACACGTAATAAAATTTAATGTTGAAATTTCGATAATGAATAATAATTCTTTGCAACTATTGGTGAGAATATTTTTTTTTACATGATTGTGAATAAAATATAATTTTTCATGTAAAATAATAAACGGAAAAAGTAACGTATTTGTTAACTGTCATTTGTTGACAGTTTAGTCGAAATTTCGCAGCTACTTTCAAAAGTCGTTCACAATAGACGAATTTTTTGTCTTGGCAACCATGTGATTTAAGTTGTTTATTAGTTAAGCGAATTCAAAGAGGTTGGACTAATACGGCGTTTACATTGGCCGAAAATGGCTCATTTTGAATGAGCCATTTGAAAGTGTTTACATTCGTTCTATTTCATTTGTTCTCATTTCAACAGCTGATTTTTCAACTTGCATGTTGATTTGATTTTTGGCCTGTGCAAAAAAAATGTTGCATGAAGGTTAAATATGCCTTCAAATCTTACATTAGAAACTTAAAACATATATTTAACTTCGATTAATTACTTTTTCAAGAAAATGCAACCACCAAACATTTGTTTACCTTTTTTTGTAAATATGTTAAAAACATTTTCAAACTGTCAAAATGCCATGAAGAGCTTTCATTTAGGGTGTGTTCAATGTAATCCTTTGCATTTGGAACGTATGTGGAATGCATTCGAACGTCATTCATACAGAATGTGAGAAAATTGCTCATTTTTTTTCTACAATTTTACATATTTTTAAAATATTTTGTATCCACAATTTTCAAATTTATTAATCATTTTATTTTTTTAACAAATTTTTAACAGATAAATGGAATATTCGCTGAAATTTCCAATGAAGGTTCACAATAGATTGCTTAACGCTTTGGTGACATTAGAAAAAAAACTGGTCACTAAGATATTTGGCCAATTCGTAACTAGACGTTTAGATAGAGAAAGTAGTGTTGTTGTTTTGCGTATAAGTTAGGACTTTAAGTAAGCGACATAGATATTATTTTTTGCCACAATTCGAAGTTATCGAATACACCTATTATCAAATTATATGATTTTCACCTATTTACTCACATTTTCTCACACATTGGCGTTTTTGGTAGCTCGCAAGTATGGAAAACAAAGTTGCAGACCTATATGGCGAAAGTTAAAATAACAACACTATATTCTTTATGCAAGATTTGCTGGATTGATTGCAATAGTGACGCCAATGTCTCGTTTAGCAAATTTAAGTCAGCATGCATTTTTTGCCACATTTGCGAGTAAAAAACCGCCTAATGTAGTTTGATATATCACTTCTCAACATTTTTTTGGAACGCAATGAAATCAACAGCAGTTGAATAATCACTGTTGAAATAAAAACAAATGAATATGCTGTTCTGTTTGAAATAAAAACAAATGAATAAAAACGAATGGAGACACTTTTAAATGACTGATTTGAAATGAGCCATTTTGGTAAGTGTAAACGTCATGTAACTGACAAATCAAATTCTACAGTATATAATTAATTGTGGAACATATATTATTAAAAATTTTTAGAAAATGCAACTCTGCGCAATATGTTTAAAATCTGTTCTTGCAGTCGTGAGCAAATTTCGTTTAAAGAAATATAAAAATTTTAGATGAAAGACACTTAATAACAAATAGTTAAATATTTATTTTTAAAAATAATATAAATATTAAGTAATTAAAAGGTAAATCATATTAATGACAAATATTATATTGAATGACATAAAATTATTTATAAAGTCCTACGTGCAGAAACGCACATCATGTATTGGCTAAACCATATGAATGATCTTGGTTAAGTGAATGGTGACAATGTGTGAAGAATTAATTAATTTCTTTGTAACAAAATAGAAATTTATTATTATAAACTAAAATAAATAATTTTTCTCTGTACTTTAGCTGAAATTCAAAATGCCTATAGCAAGTGAAATTGGAGAGGCAACAAAGGTATTTCTTGTTTATGCCAAATTGCCAATATTTTTTTCGTTAACTTTTTGCATTTTTACGTCATTTCAAAATTAATATATACTTAATTACTAACTTCTTAATTTTTGAACTCCAAATATTTGATTAATAATAGCTACACTTTGCAGGAGCCTGTACTTCAACTAATTACACCGGATATTGGAGACGCACCAAAGCCGAAAAAGAAAAACAAGCGCCGACGTGATCGTGAGAAGAAAAGAAATTTGACCAATAATTTACTTATAAATGCTACAAATGCAGTTATTCAAAATACTGAAGGCACAACTGTTAATTTAAACAATAAACAGCCAAATTTTCTAACTAAGGTGAATGATATTACCAACAATATTGGAAAATCCGCAGTTAATGTAAATTGCAAGAAATCACAACAAATAGCAAAACAAACAGATAAGAAAAATTCTAAGACTGTAATTAATTTAAATAGTAAACTACAGCAACAACAACAGTCAGCAACAAAAGTAGACAAAACTAATAAAAAATCTGAAAATATTGCTAAAACTGTTGTTAATGTAGATAATAAACCAAAACAGTCAAACTCAAAAGCGAAGAACATTAGTGGAAGCTCTGATAAAACGCCTAAAGTTGCAGCTAATTTAAATAATAAACAACAAACAATACCAATAGCTGAAAAAATTATTGTTAAACCTAAGAAAACGTCTAAGGTTACAGTTCATTTAAACAAGAAACAACAAACAATACCGACAGCTAACAAAATTAATGTCAACCCTGAGAAAACGTCTAAGGTTACAGGTCATTTAAAAAATAAACAACAAACAATACAGACAGCTGACAAAATTGTTGTTAATCCTGAAGAAACTTCTGAAGTTACAGATCATTTACACAATAAACAACAACAAACAATACCAACAACTGATAAAATTATTGTTAAACCTGAAGGAAGGTCTGAAGTTATAGATCATTTGCACAATAAACAACAACAAATTACACCAATAGCCGACAAAATTATTGTTACTCCTGATAAAACAACTGAAGTTCCAGCTCATTTAAATAATAAAACAACAAATAATACCAACAGCTGACAAAATTGTGGTTACTCCTGAAAAAACGACTGAAGTTCTAACTCATTTAAACAATAAACACCAACAACAACAACAACAAACAATACCAACAGCTGAGAAAATTATTGTTACTCCTGAAATAACGCCTAAACCTCCTGTTAATACAAACAACATCGCAAAACAACAACCAACACCGAAAGAAAACATAAATATTGCTATTCCTGTAAAACCAGTTGAGACTTCTGAAATGAGTTCCTCATTGGAAAAACGTACCTCCGTTACAAACACTGGCGGTGGTATTGTAACAGAAAAAAATCGTGAGCAAATTGAAGCTGAACGTAAAGCGAAAAAACAAGCAAAACAGGCGGCTAAACTAGCTAAAAGCAGTGGAAGCATTAGTAAGGAAATAACGGGAATCACACAGAAATTATCCGATCTACAAATCAGTACTCCCAAAACAACAACTACAACAGCACAAACAGCGGCTACACCAGTTGAGAATGTAGAAGAAAAGGTAAATTATTTGTTATTAGTTTAGTAAGTGAAAAAAAATTATTAAAAGGCATTCCCTTTAAAACAGAAACAATCAATTACGAAAACGGATATAAAACCCACAGTGGTTACTAAAGATGTAGGTTTAGGTGGAGAAAAATCTCGTGAACAAATCAAAGCTGAACGTGAAGCCAAAAAACAAGCAAAACAAGCTTCTAAATTAGCCAAAAATGCGAATACGGATACGAATAAAGAAGTAACGGAGTTGAATACAGAATTGTCTAATACGGCTTCAAAACAAACAGTAACAGTGCCAGCTAGCGAAACAATAACAAGTTCTGTAGAAGAAAAGGTAATTTAAATACTCAATTAATTATAATAGTGAATTTCAGTAAAGAAGAACAAGCACGCAAAAATAATGTCTCAAAATACACATTGGACTTGAGTCCAATTAGTCTTTAAAAGGCCAGTTTTCTCCAACTTGATACAGGTTGATTTAAATTAAATCATCCCCTAATCAATTCTTATTCCTTAACATTCCCTTTACCTCACACTATCAGCACCTGCCCACATGTGTACGTACCATGTATATGCCTTTGCTGTTGTTTTGTTGTTATTGTAACACGCATGGGTCTTTTTGTGTAGTAGTTCCTTTTGAGTGTGGTAAACGGCTCTTGGTCGTCAAACTCGACGAGTAGTTCCGGGTCGTAGACCTTGCGGTGCTTGAAACCCTACGTATTTGTAATGTCTTTCATATTATCTGCACGATAGATTTTCGCGAGCTACTACAATAATAACAACAACGCAACGACATAATACATTGTAAAATCGGTTTTTAATAACTAAACAGGGACTAAAGACAATTTCCATGTCCAGCAACAATACTAGTCCAATTTAAGACAGGTTATAGTCACCTTATTAAGTGTAACTTGGTCACACTCAAACAGGTCTATTTCCCATATTACCCATGATGTGGCTTTCGGACACCTTGCTCGTGCAACGAGTATTATCCCAGCTCAATTGAGATCGGGATATAGCCATGTGCTAAAAAAATAATTGAGACGCATAAATGTGTTAATAATTAATGTGTACCCTGACAGCAACACTACCCTCTATCTGTTTTCTTGCTTCAATACTCACACAAAATTTGCTTCCAATGATCTTTGAATACGTCCCTTAGAAATGGCTCGGTTTCTCAGCGTTGACCCTAGTTGACTTAAGTTTAAATCTCTTCCATCCTTTAATCCATTCTAACTTCTCAATAATCCTCAAAATTAATTTGTGTTAAGGATAATCTCGATCGAATACAAAAAAATAATTTTATTATGTTTTATATTTTTATTATTTTAAAATTTATTATTTTTTTTTGTAGAAAAAACCTGCACTCACAAAAGCTGAAAGGCGCGCAATACAAGAAGCACAACGTGCTGCAAAAGCGCAATCTTTAACTGCAAAAAGTTCTACAACCAAACCGGCTATCAATGATAAATCAGCAACAGTTGCCAAAACTGCATCTCCTCCAATCACCAAAGAGACTAAATCTCCAAGTGCTAAAGCTACTACTACTACTTCTCCTGCAAAGCAAAGCAAATTTATTGACAGTAAAATGCGGCTATTTAGCCACTTAGAGTGCGCACGCACTGATGTCAGCCTATTTGTGAACAACTCACAAATCCATCCAAGCATTGCGCGCTTAGGTGAACAATATGCACATCGTACAATAGTTGGTTCGAATGCTAGATGCATCGCCTTTCTAAATGCGCTGAAAATGGTATTTAAATATATAGTTTGTAATATGTATACTATAATATTAATTTTCAATAAAAAAATTAGGTTATCCACGACTTTGAAACTCCACCTAAGAAAGAATTTTCACGCAGCTTGGAAGTTTTTATCAAAAATTGTGTGGAACACTTACAAAAATGTCGTCCACTAGCAGTTTCCGTTACGAATGCCTATAAGCATATTAAACATGTACTGACACAACTGCCAACTGAACAGCCAGAATCTGAGGTATATACAATGCGCACAATTATAGTTAAATATAATTAATTATTAAATATTTTATATATATTTTTAGCTAAAAGGAAATTTATGTCACTTTATTGATACTTACATTGAGAATCAAATTGGAAAAGCTGCACAAGCTATCAGCAGTTCAATGCAGGAAAAAATTTGTAATGGT